GGTGGGATACCGGAGCGGTACCGGCGCTCTGCTGGCCGGGGTACCGGGGCGGTACCGGCGCTGTGCTGGCCGCCGGCCCCGCCGTGCGGTGTTCGGTCACGAGTGCGCGGCACGCAGGCGCTGAGCGGCAGCGGGGGGACGGGGACGGGGCCCCACAAAGGCGCGGACGGTCCCTGGGTTGGTACCGCAGCCACCGGGATGTGCCCGAAGAGTTGAGCGGTTCTGCTCAACCGGGGGAATTTGAACTCCGCGAGTGTGCCCGACCCCAACGGCGTAAAGCCGGGGTAAAGAGTGGCGAATTAATGCAGCAAACACTTGAAAATAATCTTATAATACACGGACTTGGGGTTAATTTTGGTGGTGGCTTCGCTCCGTGCCTCTGCCACAAGTGTGGTGCAGCTCGGCGCGGAACGCGTACCCGGCTGGTGCCGGCACCGCTCCCGGCACTGCACCCACGTGTCTTGTGAGAACCGGTCATAAAATCTAGAATGTATTGTAAATGGTGCTAAACAGGTGTTAAATAAAACAAAATTGCCTTTTCAATATGCATGTACAACAGGTAGTTAGAAATCGCATGAAAAAGTAGATAAAAAATGCTATAAAGTAGTTGTTGATGGAGATCCTGCAGTTCCTAAAACTATCGGCGGGTCTCATTTCTACAACACCCCCTAACATCTATTCTAAATTGATGCTGAGCAATACTGGGACCATCTGATTGCAATAGCAGGGTCAGAGTGCAGGTTTTGAACAGCCCCCAGGTTCCACAGCGTGGCTCCTCTCTGAAGTGACATCCTTTACTTCCCCTCCACACCTCCCAAGAAAGGGAACATCAAAGGATACCCAAACCCAGGGTCGGGGCTGATGGCTTTGGCAGTGCTCCTCTGGTTTGCTTTTTGCAATCAGTTAAGCATCCTAGGTATTATATGAAATATATTAAGTGTTAATGCAAAATTTAAAACACATTAAAATTCAACTTTGCAGGCCTTGCCGTTGATCTCTTTTAATGATCCATGACACGTGGATAAAGGCAGGAGAGGACGGAGTTCTAACAGGATTTAAGGCAGCGAGCTTCTTATGATTCTGCCAAGAACTGTTTGCAGAATCTTGAAAAATCATGTAATCTTTCTCTAACATCTCCCTATTTGCAGATGATTGAACTTTATTATGGTATGGAAGTGTTTTATAGGCTATATATTGAAGTGTGGATTCCAGATGTCTGTTGGAGCAAGTGCATTATTAATCCATAATCCTGAGGAGATATATACATATCTTGACCTTTCAGCCAAGATTACTCAATCTTAAAATTAAATACATGTGTACATCTGTAGGATTGAGGTCAGAATACAAGATAAATGGATGTTACTAGAGAATCATCAGACAAAAAACACATCATCCATCCATACTGCAAAAGTCTACCAAAAGAGACAGAAGAGAGACATAAAAGAAAATCAACTCATTTTTCTAAATATTTTTTTTTGGACATGGACAATCTGAGACTCTTGGTGTATCAAGCAAACCCACCAAGGACTCTATCCATCACATACACCTGGAAACACCAGAACACATTATAGAAGTGTGGAAGTAAATGCTTCAGAAACAACACAGTTTCTATCTATAGATCTCCAAAAATAGAAAACACTTTTTAAACCTTGTTTTAGGCCAGAAATGATACCTATTCCAATACAGTTCATTATACCATAGAAATAGTCTGTGTGTCAATAACAAAAAGCCTATCCCAGACTTAAAAGAACTGGGGAAAAAAGGGGAGGGGGAATGTGTAGGTTGTGGATGATGAGAATATCCATATCCACAGCTGCATTAGACAGGATAAAACCACTTAGAAGCAATATTAAATTTCCATGCTTAGTGATGGCTGATGAGGGTTGGGGTTTCCCCTCTGAGCAGATCATGGCACAGTTTTCCAACAGTGCCCAGAGCTGGGCCCCATCAGGAGGTGCTTGGATGGGACAGCCCAGGGCTGACACAAGGCTGGCCTTCTTCACAGTCAAAAATACGGGAAAAACACCTCAACTTTGTGAAACAGTGTCAAAACCACAGTATCAACTGTGGAAAAGGAGTGGTGGTTATTGGGAAAGGGGCTGGGCTAAACTCTTTGAAAAAAACCACTAAAACATTTTTTTGCTAGATATAAATGTAGCTTAAATTATTTAAGATCTAATCATGCCAAGGCGCTGGATCCTGACCTTGTTAGCTTAGAGCAGGGAGCTGTCATTTAATTAATGTTGTACTGTGGGGCTCATGCTGAAAGCAGAGCTGAAGTGCTATGCTGGGGAAGGCTCTAAGAAGACATGGGATCATTTCACCCCACTGAGCTTTAGAACTGTTACTTCCCATTGCACAGAATGGACTGGACTAATCTTAAAACATTTTTTGAAAATACTGTTTATCCTGTGAGATCTACCATTCTATACTTTCTTTACCTTGGGTTGTGATGGAAGATGAGATATTTAAGTATTTCACTGTTTTATGAAGGAAGCAGACATTTTTCTAGACATGGCAGATCTAAAGCTTTCCTCTGCAGAAATTCCATCAACTAAATGTTAAGCTCTACTTCAGATGTTTCCCTTAACCTCCCTGGGACTGCTGGCAAACCTGTATTTGCCTTTTGCTAGTTCAAATGTATTGTTTTTAATGCAGATCTACCATGACTTCCACTTTGTGGTGGCTTGATTCGGGTTGGATGCAGGAACAGGAACAAATGGAAGTGCTGATTTACATATGAAGCTGGAGATCCGTTTTAGCAAAGCTGCTCTGGCGAGGGCAGCACCACGGTGCGCTCAGCACCGGATCACATTAATCACAGGGTACTTAGAGAACCTATTCAGCCTCCTACAGAAAATACAGAAGTACATTTTTAGCAGAAAAAAAAAGAACTGTGAGTATCCTTGTGACAGTGTACAGATTTCTCAGGGCTTTCTGGAAAGAAACTTGGACTTCTGCCACCTGCTTCGATTGTGTTCATGCATAAATGATCCAGAGAACGGGTTGACATTACCTCTAATTAGGGGTAATAACAGCTTGCTGCTGAAAGGGCCCGTTCCCTTTCTCTTGCATGTACATCCCTCACTTTTCCTGCATTAGGTCTGGTGCTGGTGCAGCCACGGGGCGAGGCAGTTCAGTGACCCAAACCAGGAGAAAACTCAGCCATTACGAAAAATAATATATATTTTTTTCATTAAGTCAATCCACTGAAGCTCTGTAACCATTAGATCGGTGCGATCCACAGGCTGGAGAGGGCTGAGATGAAGGGAGAGGGCAGGATACACCCTTTTGGTGGCCTTCCGCAATTGCACAGGTCACAGGTGACAGCAAACCCCGGCCCTGAGCCCCAGCGTGACTTCAGAAGAACTCCCTGAAGCATTTCTAAGAGTTAATTAAGCATGGCTGACTCCTTCAGTTTCAGCTCACTCCAGAGTGGCAGTGTAGAGTTGTGTCATAATGAGTAATAGAGTTGGAAATAATTTTTCCTGTTTAGTTTGTACCTCAGATGGAGCTGTAAAATGGGTCAGAAAGGGAAAAGGGTGCATTGCTGTGGACCTCATGTTGATCCTTAGTGTATGTTTTTTTGTTTAACAAGCTAATTTTTCTTTTCTTTCTTACAGGAAAGAAATATTTACTTCAAAGCTACAACACTGAGGCTTGGAATCTTAAAATGACACAAGTGTCTGGCTTGGAAAAGGGCGTGAGATGAAATGCCTTCGCTGATTCTGCAGGTCCTTTTTCATACTGATCCTCTGAATGAAATACAAACTCAGCAGTACATCAGTGTTTAATGTTGCTGTATCTTTCAAAGCCCTTTCCAATAAACAGGAATAAGAGTGATGGACAGGAAAGCAGAGGAACAGTGAGTTCAAAGAGTCTATTTTAATACAATTATTTAGAAAGACACTTGAAGTCCTTGTCAGATGTATATGTCTTGCAGGTGTTTTTTTTTTAGAGAAATCTGATTTTAGGGAACAGGTCAAGACCTAGTGCAGTAGTACTCCCTCACGATGTTACAGTTCAACCATAATTTTGCACAGAAACAAGAAGAAATAGTGAAAAATCCACATTGATTATGTACATGTACATAAACATTTGTCATAGCTTATGAGCAGCAATGCTCATAATATTTTAAAATTTATGATTCCACAGGACAGAGACTCAAATGTTTATCTGAGATGTGGAGGAAGTTCTAGTTACTGTTTTTTTTATGGTTATCATATCTCCCAAGAAAAAAGTGATAAATCACAATTGGTTTGCTCTGACTTAGCCTCAGGCACCAGTGGGAGACAGAGAATGTTGATTGTGGGGTGGTCTTCTGTTCTGAGGTGGTTTTTTTTGGGGGGGGGTGGTGGTTAATAATTAAAGCACACCAAAGAAAGAGTAGTGTTTTATAATCACAGACTCATTTAAGTTGGGAAAAACCCTTAGGATCATCAAGTCTAACTATAAAATCCAAATCCACGTCTGAATTTTAACGTATGCTGAACATATGGGTCCTACACAGCAGTACTGTCACTCAAAAAAGGGAAAGTTTGGCCAAAATTCTGTGGGGTCAATAATAGAACAGCAGAAGCTTTTATGCAGAAGATAAGTCAAAGTTATTCTTCTGCTGAGGTGTTTTAATGCTTCTGTAGATAAAAATCTCACCCGAAGTTGTTTATAGCAAGAGGACTGTGTTTATTTCCCAAGAAGGGAATGAGATCAGATCTACATGATACAGGGAATGCCTCTGAAGACTTCAAATACTTAAGATTATTTTTCTTGGATGTTTTCGCTACATCTTTTTAAAAAGAATGCCTTGTACATGAAAAGCGTCAAGTGACCTTGTTGGTATCGATTGTCATTCCCTTTGTTGTGCTTAAGGAAGTGAAGGACCTTGCAAATCAGAAAGGTGTGAAGAACAAAGCAAAAATGTTAAAGACAATCTACCGTGATTTTCCTACTTGTAAATAAGGTGGAAAATGACAAAACAATACAAACTAATGATGCTTGTGAATGTTAATGGAACGATGCATGGATTCGTCTCCTAGGTGACCATCCATGTGCCTGTTAATAGTAAAAGTATCCTTGTTGAGTATTATTTGTATTGTTAAAATCCTATTTTTCTTAACAACAAATTGATAGCAACAGGTTTGTTTCTTACTTATCCCTTGAGTCTCCTGATGCACAAATTTGATGTGGCACAAGTGTATTGCTTCACCTTTTCAGAAATCACCTTCAGAACTGTGCCAAGTATTCACTAGGGAGTTCTGCTCTACGCCTTAATTTTCCCTCTGTAAAACACAGAAAAAATGAATTATGGTTTAAAGGGTTTATGTGAACTTGGTAATAAAAAAATCTTTCAACACTGGCATGTGTAGATGTTGAAATGTTCTGCTTAATCAACCTTATCAAGTGCTTGCTGATAAAGGCGGGTTTATCAAGAGCTCTGGGCCTACAAAACCTTGTGAAAAACCTGAGCTACGTGACAAAGGGTTAGGTGGGGTCAGTTTTAACTGGAAGCGAGGGTGGATTCTCTGACCGGTCTGGATCCACTGGACAGGTGTAGGTTACATGTATAAGCATTTTAGGACGGGTGGCTACAGAAGGAAGATATTGAAACACGGCTTTGTGTTTTGTTCTGAGGGACACCACATGATGTCCGCCCTGGTGAGCGTAGAGGCTCCTGCACCGGGCTGAGGGACACAAACCCACCGGAAACTACAGATTCTCGTCAGCCGCACCCCAGCCGAGCTGCTCACCCGGGGATCGCGGCGGGGGCTCCGGCCGGGGCTCGGGGCGGGGTTCGGGGCGGGGCTCGGCCCCTCAGCTCCGCCGCGCCCTCA